TCTCTCTCTCTCTCTCTCTCTCTCTCTCTCTCTCTCTCTCCATCTCGCCCTCTCCATCAGCACACAGCAGATGCACAAAAAAATGTTGGGTAGTATTAGATGAGACAAGTTAGCCATGATTTATGTCGATAACTTAGTTTAAGTTCAGTGCCCTGGTTCAGGATTCAACTCATGGGCTCTAATTGATATATTTGCACCAAATACATTTAAGGGTTTTTAAACCCCAAACTGCAGCTGTTTAAAGATGATTCTTGGTACAGGAGTCAAACTCATGGTCTGAAATTGATATATTTGCATCAGATACATTTAAGGAATGATAAACCCCAAATTGCAACTGCTTAATGAAGATGATTCTTCTCAGTACCTTTTTAGATGAAATGGCCATTGTTGTTATCGGGGCATTATTCTGGAAAACAAAAAAGAAAGAATGGTTTAGAATTTAAACTTTGGTTAATCAAGTCATAACAGTCCCTAATCCATAAACTGAGCAATGGTGACACAGTGGTTAGAATGCAGTATTGTAGGAGAACTAACTCTGCCCACTGCCAGGAGGTCGATCCTAACTGGCTCAAAGTTGACTCAGCCTTCCATTCTTTCCAAGGTGGGTAAAATGAGGACCCAGATTGTTGGGGGCAAGAGGCTGACTCTGAAAACCGCTTAGAGAGGGCTGTAAAAGTACTGTGAAGTGATATATAAGTCTAAGTACTATTGTTATTGTTATTTAAGCTGTGGTAGCACAGTGGTTAGAATGTAGTATTACAGGCGAACTAACTTTACCCACTGCCAGGAGTTCAAATCAACATATAAATGCTATTCCTTCCTTCCTTCCTTCCTTCCTTCCTTCCTTCCTTCCTTCCTTCCCTTCCTTCCTTCCTTCCTTCCTTCCTTCCTTCCTTCCTTCCTTCCTTGGTGGCACAGTGGTTAAGATGCAGTATTGCAGGCAAACTCTGCCCACTGCTAGGAGTTCGATCCTGACGGGCTCAAGCTTGACTCAGCCTTCCGTCCTTCCGAGGTCAGTCAAATGAGGACCCAAATTGTTGGGGGGGCGATAGGCTGACTCTGTAAACCGCTTAGAGAGGGCTGCGAAGCACCGTGAAGTAGTATGTAAGCGCTATTGCTATAAACTGACAGTCCAGTCTTCTGATAATAACACTTTTGTCTTTTTTTTCCAGCTTTGCAACATGTTCCTCACCCTTTCCCCGTGACAGCATAATATCCAACATTAGCAAAGCTTAATAACTCTGACCCTTATCACTTGAGGAGCCTATGAAGAACGGAAGATAGTCAGCCTTGTTCTTTTCAAATATAAATCCAAGTGTTTATACTTTGAAAAATGGGAGCCCGTATTCTTTTGGGTCACAGCTCATATTTAATGAGCATGTAAACAGGATGGAGGGGAAAGGACGCATGGTTCTTGCGAGCAATACCGAAGAAGGCGTACAATCTCATAGCTTTGCTTTGGATTATCCAGGCAACCGTCTGCCTTACAAATGAAGTGTTTGGCATGTTTGACTTTGTGTTTGCATTCAGCTGGTTCAGAAGACACATCCAGCCAGCGGGGATTGCAACCCTTTGGAGGTTACTTTGCCCCAAAATTAGAAGCAGAAGAAGGACAACGGAGCAACGTGAAGTGTTAACGGGATGTCCTGCTAAACTAACAAGACAATGTATCCCTCTTGGTAAAACACACTCAATTGATAACCAAGAAGAGAAGAAGATATCCAAGGCTCAAAGATTAACAGGATTATCCCATAAGAAATTATGATGAAACATGGAATAGATGGTACCAATGGATAAACCAGAGGAAAGGAAATGGGTAGAGATGAAATTTAGAAGAAATCAATATAACAAAAAACAGCACTGTCAGAGGTATAGAATATGGAACATTTTATTGTATGTTTGTATATATGTATATATGATACACATAATATATCTATATAATGGAAATTAGTCAATAGGTGAAGTTTATGTACTGTATATGTAAATTTGTTTCTCAATTGAGAGAAATGTGTATGTTTTTTAAATGTTTTTTCTCTTTTTTAACAATAAAGTTTATTTTAAAATTTAAAAAAAAATGAGGCCTGTTTCTAATAATTACTACTACACTAACTCGTTGGAAAAACAGAATGTTGTTAGAACACATTACTCGGTTCCCATTTTGCACTACGAGTAGTTCTCAACTTAGGACCACAAACGAGTCCAAAATTTATGTCGCTAACTGAGACATGTGTTAAGAGTTTTGCCCCATTTTATGACTTTTCTCGCCCTTTCCTTCCTTCCTTCCTTCCTTCCTTCCTTCCTTCCTTCCTTCCTTCCTTCCTTCCTTCCTTCCTTCCTTCCTCTCTTATTCCCTTTCTCATTCTTCTTCTTGGTGGGGCAGTGGTTAGAATGCAGGATTGCAGGCTAACTCTGCCCACAGCCAGGAGTTCGATCCTGATCAGTTTATGGCTGACTCAGCCTTCCGTCCTTCCGAGGTCTGTAAAATGAGGAGCAAGATTGTTGGGGGCAATAGGCTGACTCTGTAAACTGCTTATAGAGAGTTGAAAAGCACTGTAAAGCAGTATATAAGTTTAAGAGCTATTGCTCTTCCTTCCTTCCTTCCTTCCTTCCTTCCTTCCTTCCTTCCTTCCTTCCTTCCTTCTTCCCTTTCTCATTCTTCTTTCTGGTGGGTCAGTGGTTAAATTGCAGGATTGCAGGCTAACTCTGCCCACAGCCAGGAGTTCGATCCTGACCGGCTTAAGATTGACTCAGTCTTCCATCCTTCCGAGGGTCGGTAACAATTTCCCACGTTGTTGGGGGAAATAAGATGACTCTGTAAAATTGTTTAGACAGAGCTGTAAAAGCACTGTGAAGTGGTATATAAATCTAAGTGCTATTGCTAAGTGCTATATATACAATATATATCTTACCATATGGAATATGTACAAAATTGCAAGCAGAGCACACTAAAGGTTTTCTCTTTTTTTTTTAATATAAACAAACTTTATTCGTATTTAAAAAAGACATTTAAAACAATTATAAGAAAAACTGAACAAGTTTTTCTTAATCAAACACACTAATTACATGTACATATACGATACATATATAGTGCTCAACTTCATCTATTAACTACTTTCTAATATTATATATACATATATATATACGCACAATGACTTATTTCCTTCTATATCTCTCTGACAATGCAGTTGTTTATTTGCATTGATTTCTCCTAACTTTCATCTCCAAGCATTCCCTCTCTCTGACTTATCCACTGGTAGCAGCTATTCCATATTTTAAAGTATTTTGAATCTTCCTTATCCTGTAATTTTAGGGTTAATTTATCCATCTCTGCGCATACATAAATTTTCTGTATTACTTCCTGATCAGTTGGCAAACGGTCTATTTTCCAGAGTTGTGCCAACGCTAATCTTGCCGCTGTTATAATGTGGAGTATTAGGTATTTTATGTCCTTCCTAATATTCTTATTGATCATGCCGAGTAAAAAGACTTCAGGTGTTAATTCAATTTCGTGATTTGTTATCTCTAATATCCATGTTTTAACTTTGTTCCAATATTTTTTGATTTTGGGGCAAAGCCACCAAGCATGGTAAAAAGTTCCCTGCGCTTTCCCTAAAGGTTTTCTCAATCCAGGTCAGGAATCCTGAGTGACTGATGTAAAGTCAAATCAGATCTGACATCCTGTTGCAAATTTATTCCCTGAACACGGACAACAGAAATCCCTGTTCATTTTTTTCATCTCTCTCAGGTGTTTTTATCCTTATGCTTCTTCACACTTGTTGTAGCTGAATTCTCATTCTGAGTTTAGAAGGAGAGATGCAGGAAAAACGAGCTGCGAAGCAGAGAGCAGATAAGGATACGAAAGAGACAGAGGAAGGCAGCCAAAAACGCTGAAATGCTCTCCAAGTCATCTCTTGGAGAATTTTCAGAAGGCTTGACAGAAAATGTCAAAGGAGTTCTCCAGATATTTTATTTTTTTCCCCTGGAAAGGACTTCCGAGGGATTGCAAAACCCGCCAGTTCCTCAATTCACCCACACACTGAACGATAATCTAGCTATTGTGTGATTTCCAAACTCTCCCTCCCACTGTCTTCAGCACTTCTGCCGTCTTAGAATCATAGGGCTGGAAGATAATATAATATAATATAATATAATATAATATAATATAATATAATATAATATAGTATAGTATAGTATAGTATAGTATAGTATAGTATAGTATAGTATCGTATCGTATCGTATCGTATCGTATCGTATCGTATCATATCATATCATATCATATCATATCATATCATATAATCAGATTTGGATGGGACCTTGGAGGCAGTGGTGAAATTCTTTTTTTTTTTCCTACCGGTTCTGTGGGCGTGGCTTGGGGGACATGGTTTGGTGGGCATGGCAGGGGAAGGATACTGCAAAATCTCCATTCCCACCCCACTCCTGGGGGAAGAATACTGCAAAATCTCCTTTCCCACCCCACTCCTGGGGGAAGGATATTGCAAATGTCCCATTCCCTCCCCACTGCTGGGGGAAGGATACTGCAAAAACTCCATTCCCACCCCGCTCCAGGGAAAGGATACTGCAAAATTCCCATTCCCTCCCCACTCCAGGGGAAGGATATTGCAAAATCCCCATTCCCTCCCCAGTCCTGGGGGAAGGATATTGCAAAATCTCTATTCCCACCCCACGCTGGGGCCAGCCAGAGATGGTATTTGCAGGTTCACCAAAGTACTCAAAATTTCCGCTACCGGTTCTCCAGAACCTGTCAGAACCTGCTGGATCTCACCCCTGCTGGAGAGCTTTGCCAATTAACCTAATTGGTCAACGTGACTTGTTGGGGAGGGAGTTATTTCTTATTTTAATGATACTGACACCATGGGAAATTTTTAGAGTTGGTTTCTCTTTTGATCAGTCCGATATGATGTATCCAATAAAGAAGTTCTTTGAGGACGTCTCTAGCTTCAGGGTTATGATTTGCTTGGGTTCGTTAGTTGGAACCATGACATTAACACCAGAAAATTTTTCTCTATTTCTAGGTTGAATATCTCTTTGACAAGCTTCCCCCAGTCACTTCTTGTCCTGCCCTCTGGTGCCTTAGAGAATAAGGCAATCCCATCTTCCCCCCTACCCCAAAAAAAATTATAGGTTTCCCTCAACACATCCTAAACCCACTTTGTCTTTGTCATCTGTGGAAATGTGGCTGTATTAAAAAAGGAAATTATTTTTCCTTCTCTTTCTTTCTGCGTTAGCTTCATCCTACTCCCTAGGAGCATGGGAATTTTGAGGGGGAGGAAACGTATTTCTCCCAAAGGGTCTTAAAACTGGAAAAGTGGGATGTGAAATAGGCCAAATCCAACTTGACTCAAAAAGAATCTTGAGTCATTTTCTGGTTCTTTAATTTCTCTTTTCTGCACAGAAACTCAGCCTGTAGCTGTTGCAGTCCAATCTGAGCTTGGGAAGAGGATTTTCAGAAATTAGTTTTGGCTTTGATGGGTCTACTTTCCTTAGCATAAATTATAACTTGGATGCAAAAACTGGCAAATAATGGATGTTTCTGGTTCCACTAACAGTTCACACGGAAATCAGCAAGTCCCTCTTCATCTGTGGACTTCCAAATACCTAGTCAAAGTCCATGAATTGGGTCTTTGAAGTGTTCCAATATCTCAAGGGCTGCCACAAAGAAGAGGGGGACAAGTTATTCTCCAAAGCATCTGAGGGCAGGACAAGAAGGAATGGGTGGAAACTAATCAAGGAGAGAAGCAACTTAGAACTAAGGAGAAATGTCCGGACAGTGAGAACAATTAATCAGGGGAACAACTTGCCTCCAGAAGTTGTGGATGCTGCAACACTGGAGGTTTTCAAGAAGAGATTGGACAACCTTTGTCTGGAATGGTGTAGGGCAGTGATGGCTAACCTTTACGCCATCGCGTGCCAAAAGTGGGGGGCGCATGGGGGGGACGCACGCGTGCCCACACCCATAATTCAATGCCCCCGTGCCCCGACCCCCCGTACATACACACGCGATCCCCCCCACGACCCCCGGTTTTGGCAGGCGAAGGCAAAAAGGTTACCGGTGGGCCTGGTAGGCCTGTTTTTCACTCCCCCACCCCGCTGAGGGCAAAAATGGCCTCCCCCACCTCCTGAGGACCTCCAGAGGCCAGAAATGGCCCATTTCCTGACTTCCAGTGGGCCCGGAAGGCCTGTTTTTTGCCCTTCCCAGGCTCCAGAGCCTTTCTTGGGGCCTGGGGAGGGCAAAAACGGCCTCCCTCACCCTCTGGAGGCCCTCCAGAGGCTGGAAACGGCCTATTTCCTGACTTCCAGTGGGTCCAGAAGGACTGTTTTTTGCCCTCCCCAGGCTCCAGAGCCTTTCTTGGAGCCTGGGGAGGGTGAAAATGGCCTTCCCCATCACCCCGGAGGCCCTCCAGAGGCTGGAAACGGCCTATTTCCTGACTTCCAGTAGGCCCAGAAGGCCCCAAAATCAGCTGGCCGGCACATGCATGCATGCTGGAGCTGAGCTAGGTCAACGCTCACGTGCCCACAGATATGGCTCCACGTGCCACCTGTGGTACGCATGTCATAGATTCGCCATCACGGGTATAAGGCTTCCTGCCTGAGAAGTGGGTTGGACTAGAAGACCTCCAAGGTCCCTTCCAACTCTGTTATTCTGTTAAACTATAGTGTGAAACTTGCTCTGGTTTTTCTTCCTAAATCATTTCTTCAGAGCTTCAGCTGATTGAGGCCAATATCGGAAACTTTCGGGTGATAAGGAAAGAAAAACAGTCAGTTGGCTTTTTAAAAAAGATCTTATTGTCAGAAACCTTATCAACTAAGACACAGGCCCACAAACACACACAGAATATTTGACATCCCCACCACAAGAGATTGTAATCACGACATAAACAAAGAAAAAAGTCAGATTTGGTGGCCGCCGTTAGAACTTGGAAAGGAGGGGAGTAAAAAAAAAAACTCTATCAAAATTCTTTTAAGCCAGGCTGACAACTTAATGAAAAACAAGTGATTTAAAGCAGAATGTAAAATATTGCAATTGTGCTTTTCCTCCCTTGGAGAAACCCAAGCTCACAAGAGCAATACGAATGAAATCTCCCTTTTAACAGACTGACCGAGAGATCGGGCATCGGTTGTTAAAATGTGAGTTAACTGAGAAAAAAGTTATAGTCTTTAACTAAGTTACTAGCCAAATGACAGCCTTTGGGGCAGTGGTGAAATCCAAATTTTTTTACTACCGGTTTTGTGGGCGTGGTGTGGCTTGGTGGGCGTGGCTTGGTAGCCATGGCAGGGGAAGGATACTGCAAAATCTCCATTCCCACCTCACTCTGGGGCCAGCCAGAGATCGTATTTGCCGGTTCTGCGAACTTCTCAAAATTTCCGCTACCGGTTCTTCAGAACCTGTCAGAACTTGCTGGATTTCACCCCTGCTTTGGGGTTAATGTACCTCATTGGCGGGATCGTCTAAGTTAAATGAGGTAAACGAGCACAAAAAAGTATCATTTGCAGAAATCTGACCTTCTGCAATTGTGGGAAACGAAATTGTTTATTGCACCAAGGTCTACCATATCAATGTTTCCCTGTAATAAGAAAAAGCAGTGATTTTTTTTTTAAATTTTACTGTTTACCCAAGAAATAGTCCATCTTGCCAAGCTAATTTAGATGCAATCGTAAAAAGAAAAAAGAAAGAAAGAAAGAAATACATAGAAAGCTCAGAGTTGAACTGTTAAACTTTGGATGTGCTCTGATTTCTTTTTTCCTCCTTACAGCAAAGAAAACTAGGTGCAAAAAACTAGGAAGACTTGCTGAGTTCGAAGCACCGAAGGGTTTTATTATTGCTACTTTATGCACAAGAATCTGGTTAGAGGATGGTCAAAGCTAAACCGGTGCTAGATAAGATTCAATGGAATTCATGGGAAGTGGATTTAAGGTCTTTTTCTGGGAGCGCAAAGATTCCAAACTAATGACATGTTTAACTCCGCCTTTCATCTCGGCTTGCTCATCTCCTACAGAAGATACTAGTATTATGGACTGCAACAGCGGTGGGCTTCCAATATATTACCACGGTTTGCTGTGCATTCACATGCTCATTTTGCATGCGTGCTTTCGTGCATGTGCCCGGCCTTCGTGCATGGCTTTGCTCACTTGTGCACCTTCCATGCATGTGCCCGCCATTGAAGACATCCCTAAATAGGATGACATAGAGCCAGGGTGAGGGGACGGGCCCAAACCCGTATGAACCGGCTGAATACCACCTCTGGACTGCAAATTTTGATAGTAGTTTATATATGCGCCTGCTATTTCTGCTTATCTGTTGGCCTGCTTGTTAGATGAAAGTATTTTGATGAGAGGGAAAAAAAAGAATGAAAACTCTTGAAAGAGACCAACCTTAAAAACTTCCAGTTCTTCTAAGATCAGCTCTCCATTTGTCGACGAGTTAGTGGGCAGTGCCACTACTTCTGCACCGTCCCCTGGTCTGAAACAAAGAAGATACGGACCAGTTTTGAAACCATTGCAAAAAAGAAGAGCTGAGTTTTCACGGCATACAATGCAAAGTGGAGGGAAGTGCTTCAGGCTATCTCAGAATTCAAAGAACAGGTGAATTATATATCCACCATTTATTTTTTTCTTTTAAAATGCCTCTTGTGTGTTTGATTGATCTTCCTCCAAACCACAGTTCTGCTGGAATATTTTTAAGCAAACTCCACTGAAATACAAGAAGCTGTGTTTGGGAAAAGGATATAATGGAAACCCACTTCTGATTTAAAACAATATTGTTTGGTTTTTTTTTTTTTATGTTATTTGTTTTCAAGAGTTACTCCTGACCAGAGGTGGACTTCACATAATTTAAACAAACCGGTTCAGCCAGAATTGAAAAAAATGAGCGTGCACGCCTTGTGCAAATGTGTGCCGAGTCAAAAACATAGCAATTTGCTCATGTGTGCCATCCGTGCATGCGTGCGACATCACAAAATGCAGTGATATAGGACAGGATTGTGCCTGGGTGGGTGGGTGGTACCCACAGATTGAAACTACCAGTTCGCATGAACCAGTCCAAACGGCTGAATCCATCCCTGCCCCTGACTCCAAGAGACCGGAAATAAAATAAAGGAAACCATTGTAAAGATTTAGAAATACCGGTAAAACCCTTAACTGTCTCGCTTACTCCTTTCCCCACGTTCAGAGAGCTCAATAACTTGCATTTATGTAGCAAATGTAATCTTGTTATTGAATTAAACTGCATTCTGAGTTTGCATTATTCATCAAAGAAACTCCGTATGCACAACGCAGAGAGAAAAGTTAAAATTAAAGTGTATCACATGTTGTAGAAAATGCAGGTTTTCTTTTTATTCTTTCTTTCTTTCTTTCTTTCTTTCTTTCTTTCTTTCTTTCTTTCTTTCTTTCTTTCCTTCCTTCCTTCCTTCCTTCCTTCCTTCCTTCCTTCCTTCCTTCCTTCCTTCCTTCCTTCCTTCCTTCTTTCTTTTCTGTTGAAGCTGGTTTATATATCTTCCATGAATTTAATTTAATTTAATACTCCAGTTATGGGGCTCCTGACTCCATAATGGTTTGAAGAGCCATATGCAAAAGAAATGAAGGTACAGCCAAAATGGAAGATAATCCGTAAGACAGAAAAAAAAATGTAACCGAAACTCTTCCCTCCCTATAAAAAGAAAACCCAAATCAGGTTTCCAACAATTTTTAGAAACTCAAAATGGCGGGAGCAGAATCGATCTTTGGATGCATATTATTCCAAAATCAGGAATGATCAGAAGGCTAATTTTACATCTGGTTCACCGAACTGGTAGTTGCAAGGACTAGCTGCCCCCGCCCACCCCGCCCCTCCCTTCCCAGGAGACTCCAGGTGGCCTGTTTTGGATGCCAGATAAGTGCAGGGCCCACACGGAGGCTCTGGGAGGGCGAAAAATGGGCCTCCTGGAAGTTTTGGAAACTGGCCCATTTCCAGCATCCGGAGGGCCTCCAGAGCCCGGGGAAGGCTGTTTTCAACCTCCCAGAGGCTTGAGGAAAGCCTCTGGAGCCTGGGGAGGGCAAAAAACAGGCCTCCTGGAAGTTCAGGAAGTGTGGAAACAGGCTTGTTTCCAGCCTCCGGAGGGCCTCTGGAAAGCCTCCAGACCTTGGGGGGGGGGAAAAAACCCCCCCCCCCCCGCCATGGTACAAGAGGCTGAGTAGGCCACGCCCACCATGGCCACGCCCACCCAGGCCAAGAACCGGTTACTAAAATTTTTGAATCCCACTCCTGGTGGATATATCCATTCCCAGAATTCTGCAACCAGCAGGGAATTCTGGGAGTTGATGTCCGCCCTTCCTAAAGTAGCCAAGTTTGGGGAGGGGAAAAAAAAGGTTACTAGGATTAAGTCGAGATGAAGTGCTTTGAACCTCCAGAAGCATTTCACGCATGCTTAGCTTGACAAGCAATTATTATAAATCCCATTTTTTTCTTCTTCTTCTTCTTCTGAGGATTTGGAAGGAAGCCAGGAAAGAAGGACGTCAGGAGAGCAAAATAGCCAAGAGGCTGAGAAATTGAGCAAAAAATAGAAATAATAATAATTAAAAAAAAAGTGTGCGATCGATGCCTACAGACAAGGAAGGACCGAGATGAGAAAACCAAATATTGACCAACCTCGTCAACTGACAGAAATATGGCCTTCTCTTAGAGAACTCAAATATGATTGTTTATATCAAAATACGATTCACAGCTTGGATAGCCCAGGACACACAGATGTTTGGCGGTTACACAGTATGTTCCACTGACTAATTCAAGATAAAAGTTTAAATCTTTCCATACATTTTTTAAAAAAAAAATATAAATCAGCCCCGAGGAGAATGTTCCAGTGAGTGCGCTCAACGTCAAAAGTCAGACTTCAAAACGGGCTTCCATTGAGCTATTTTTCCTCTCTTTTTTAAAATAAAATAAAATAAAATAAAATAAAATAAAATAAAATAAAATAAAATAAAATAAAATAAAATAAAATAAAATAAAATAAAATAAAATAAAATAAAATAAAATAAAATAAACAAGGTGTAAAGGCCTCACAGAGCAAGGCCTCTTTCCCACATCACACACAGACACAAAAATCCACCACCACAATTGTGAGGCTTTGAAATGTGTGGCAGTTTTTGTTTTGTTTTGTTTTGTTTTGTTTTTGCTTTGAGGGGGTCTCTTTTTGGTTTGCAAATGGGACCGGCTGCGATTTCAGATCGAGGTCAAACGTAACATATTTTAGATTGGGAAATATTTGACCTGAAAGTCAAGCAAGCAAGAAAGCAAGCAAGAAAGAAAGAAAGAAAGAAAGCAAGAAAGCAGGCAGGCAGGCAGGCAGGCAGGCAGGCAGGAAAGAAGGAAGGAAGGAAGGAAGGAAGGAAGGAAGGAAGGAAGGAAGGAAGGAAGGAAGGAAGGAAGGAAGGAAAGAAGGATGGAAGGAAGGAAGGAAAGCAAGCAAGCAGGAAGGAAGGAAGGAAAGCAGGCAAGAAAGAAAGAAAGAAAGAAAGAAAGAAAGAAAGAAAAGAAAGAAAGAAGGAAGGAAGGAAGGAAGGAAGGAAGGATGGAATGGATGGATGGATGAAGGAAGGAAAGCAAGCAAGCAGGAAGGAAGGAAGGAAAGCAGGCAAGAAAGAAAGAAAGAAAGAAAGAAAGAAGGAAGGAAGGAAGGAAGGAAAAAAGAAAGAAAGAAAGAAAGAAAGAAAGAAAGAAAGAAAGAAAAAGAAAAAAGAAAGAAGGAAGGAAGGAAGGATGGATGGATGGATGGAAGGAAGGAAAGCAAGCAAGCAGGAAGGAAGGAAGGAAAGCAGGCAAGAAAGAAAGAAAGGAAGGAAGGAAGGAAGGAAGGAAGGAAGGAAGGAAGGAAGGAAGGAAAGAGAGGGAGGAAGGAAGGAAGGAAAGCAGGCAAGAAAGAAAGAAAGAAAGAAAGAAAGAAAGAAAGAAAGGCAGAAAAATAGGCCTATTTTCTGCATTTTGGTTGAAATATTCCATAGAATATCTATGAGGATTCTCAGTCATGCAGATCATGGTTGCCCCAAAAATGCTTTTTCAAGAGGCAACTGGACTTTCAATCAATCAACCAACCAACCAACCAACCAACCAATTCAGTTTATTACAGTCATAGACTGGACTTCGGGGTCACAAAGAGTCAAACACAACTTAGCGACTGACCAACTGACCAAGTGTGGTAAGGCCACACTCGGAATACGGCATCCAGTTTTGGTCACCATGATGTAAAAAAGATGTGGAGACTCTAGAAAGTGTGCAGAGAAGAGCAACAAAGATGATTAGGGGACTGGAGGATAAAACATATGAAGAACGGTTGCTGAAATTGGGTATGTCTACTTTAATGAAAAGAAGGACATGCTAGCAGGGTTCCAATATTTCAGGGGCTGCCCCAAAGAAGAGGGAGTCAAGCTATTCTCCAAAGCACCTGAGGGTAGGACAAGAAGCAACGGGTGGAAATTAATCAAGGAGAAAAGGAGAAATTTCCTGATAGAACAATTCATCAGTGGAACAACTTGCCTCCAGAAGTTGTGAATGCTCCAACACTGGAGGTTTTAAAGAAGATGTTGGATAACCATTTGTCTGAAGTGGTATAGGGTTTCCTGCCTAAGCAGGGGGTTGGACTAGAAGACCTCCAAGGTCCCTTCCCACTCTGTTATTCTATTCTATTCTATTCTATTCTATTCTATTCTATTCTATTCTATTCTATTCTATTCTATTCTACACTCTACTCTATTCTATTCTATTCTATTCTATTCTATTCTATTCTATTCTATTCTATTCTATTCTATTCTATTCTACTCTACTCTACTCTACTCTATTCTCTTCTACTCTCTTCTATTCTCTTCTATTCTATTCTATTCTATTCTATTCTATACTCTACTCTACTCTACTCTACTCTACTCTACTCTACTCTACTCTACTCTACTCTCTACTCTACTCTACTCTACTCTACTCTACTCTACTCTACTCTACTCTACTCTATTCTATTCTATTCAACAAGAAGAAGTTGTCAAAGCCTCCTGTGTGATGAATGGCCTTTAGCTGGGAAATTAGAACACCTTGAGATTCATTGAAGTCTTCCCACAACTTGCCTCATCCAATTATTTGGAGGTTGTGATCAGCTTAATCTTGGATTCATCCCCCCAACTCCAGAATATTTTATATGCTGAGGTGTTCATTTATGATCCTGCATCTTGTCTTAAAAAAAAAAAAAGAGGAAATTTCATAATCAGATCAAATATTTTCAAAGGCACTCGTTCCTTTGAACTGTATATCTACCACGAGGAAATTGACAACTGGACAACAGAAGTAGTTGCTCTGGGCTTTGATTATTGCCAGAAATTAGTGCTTCCTCTGATGAAGATAAATTTATGGCCGTCATTCCTCAGTGGATTAAACTTGATGTTACTTGGGACTTTTGAATGGCTTAACTATAGCTATAAATCATATATGGATGATTACAATAAAATATAAGGTGTAAATTGTAGATGGATGTTTACAATAAAACATGGCGATTTTTACTGAAACAAAAAAAATCATGGATATACGTCTATATATGCACGAGAAGAACTTATATATTATTTATACTGTTGTTATTGCCTTTTCGCCATTTTAAATTATATATGTGTCTGTCTGTGAATGTGTGTGATTTCTCCCTCTGTTTTGTCAAATAAAGCAAAACCAAAATAAATTAAAAAAATCCAAACCAATAAAAAACTTCAAGATCCAACATTGTGCAAATTTCAGCCGTAAATTACAATGCTTTGCCTTGGCTCTCATTACAGCTGTGTAAAAAACAGAGTTTCTCTCAGAATTAAGCCAAGAAACGCATAATTCCACTTGACGCAATGCATTTTTGTGTTCGTGTTGTCCTGTCGCAGTTAGTCCTCGACTTATGATGACAATGGAACCCAAAAGTTGGTTGCTAAGCAACAACAAGGCTGTTAAATGAATTTTGCTCCATTTTGCAAGCTTTCTTGCCACAGTCGTTAAGTGAATTACTGCGCTTAGTCACATGGCTGTTAAGTGAATTTGGCTTCCCCGTTGACTTTGCCTGTCAGAAGTTCGCAAAATTGTGATCACAGGGACACTGCAAACCGTCATAAATATGAGTCCGTTGCCGAGCATCTGAATTTTGAACACGTGAAAATGGGGATACTGCTAGGTCGTAAGTGTGAAAAGTGGTCATAAATCACTTTTCCCAGTGCCGTTGTAACAGTCATTAAATGAACTGTTGTAAGTCCAGGACTACCTGGATGCTAAACTTATAGCCTTTTCCCCCTTCTTTTTCAATACCACCAAAAAAAAAGGCATTTCCGAATGTGAGAAAAAGGAAATTTTGAACCCTTTGGAGCGTGTCTTGTGCCATCAAACCGGCCGGTGGAAATCGGGAGAAATTTTAAAAAGCCAAACCAAGCCAAACAACATGAGCTCTGCCATAAGTGGTACCTTGCTCAATAGTAGTAATTGTGAAAGGGATCTTGGAGTCCTAGTAGACAACCACTTAAATAGGAGCCAGCCGTGTGCAGCAGCTGCCAAAAAAGCCAACACAGTTCTAGGCGGCATCAACAGAGGGATAGACTCAAGATCACGTGAAGTGTTGATACCGCTTTATCATGCCTTGGTAAGGCCACACTTGGAATACTGCATTCAGTTTTGGTCGCCACGATGTAAAAAAGATGTGGAGACTCTAGAAAAAGTGCAGAGAAGAGCCACAAAGATTATTAGGGGAGGACTGGATGGCTAAAACATATGAAGAACGTTTGCAGGAACTGGGTATGTCTAGTTTGATGAAAAGAAGGACCAGGGGAGACATGAGAGCAGTCTTCCAATATCTCAGGGGCTGCCCCAAAGAAGAGGGAGTCAAGCTATTCTCCAAAGCCCCTGAGGGCAGGACAAGAAGCAATGGGTGAAAACTAATCAAGGAGAGAAGCAACTTAGAACTAAGGAGAAATTTCCTGACGATGAGAACAATTCATCAGTGGAACAGCTTCCCACCAGAAGTTGTGAATGTTCCAACACTGGAAGTTTTTAAGAAGATGTTGGACAACCATTTGTCTGAAGTGGTGTAGGATTTCCTGCCTAAGCAGGGGGTTGGACTAGAAGACCTCCAAGGTCCCTTCCAACTCTGTTATTCTATTCTATCCACCTTAGCCCCAGGAAGTCTCCTCAAGATGTGAATCTGGATCTGTTCTTGAAGCCTGCTTTCTAAACTTGGCTTTTGGAAACCCGTAATTTGTAGAACGATTGATATAAGACAACAGTCGATGCAACTCGCCCAGCATCGGCTTCGCTCCCCAGTCACCCCTGCTGAGCGCATCTTAAGCCTCGATGTTCCCACTCTGCCAAACCCCATTTGCCAGAGGGCTGCGACAGCCCCGACCGTCAATTACTAACCCTGTCAATCTTACACAATGCAGTTGTTGGTTGTTTTTTTTTTACGGTTCCCCGGAAGGAAACGTTCACAAACGTTTTAATTAAGTTGTCACCTTTATTCCGACTTTCTCGGTTTGATAGATTTCTTGGGTTAAATTCTTGGCAATCTTTTTGAGACTGCAGAAAAAGACAGGGAGGGAGGGGGAGGGAGGGAGGAATTCGTTGATCAGGGTATGTTATGCACCGCGTTTGCTGGTTTCTTTCTTTGTTTGTTTGTTTTGTCAACAGAAGTTTCCTCAATTGTTACTTAGGTGATGGACACCTGAGGCATTTCAACGCAAGCCAAGCCAAAGAAAGCACATTGCCCAAGTGGAGCCGTTGGAACAATGCTCCATTGGCAAGACGAGCAATGCAGAAAATTGTGAGATTTGCTCTTTTGGTTTCCAGGAACAATTGGAAGTGGCTTTCCATGTCGGTTGAGAAAACGATAACATCTAATACATATCTAAGAGAGCCAGTTTGGTGTAGTGCAGGGGTCAGCAACCTGCGACTCTGGAGCCGCATACGGCACTTTGGGCCCTCTGCTGTGGCTCCCTGTCAGGTGATCCCACCACTGGCTGGCCCCAACCCCTCGCCCTCCCCTCCCAGTCACTCCTCGCCTGGCCTGAGAAGGTAAGGGTGATGGTGGGGGATGGAGAAGCGGCCAAGGCAGAGACAGAGATACAGAGAGAGGGGGAGAGAGAGAGACGTAGAAAGATACAGAGAGAGAGAGAGGGAGAGTGGGGGAGAGAGGGAGGGAGGAAGGGAGGGGAGAGAGAGAGTTATCAAAAGGATTTTGTGGTTCCCGGTGTTTTTTAACAACGGATTCTCTGCCCTAATGACCGGCTGGGTAGGCGTGGCTAGGGGAGGGGTCATGTGACTGGTGGAAGTGAGTGACATTGAGTGGCCACGCCCACCCAGGTTTTGTGGCTCCCGGTGTTTTCTTTTCTGTGGGAAACAGGTCCAAATGGCTCAATTGCAGACCCCTGGTGTAGTGATTAAAGCAGCAGGCTAGGAAGGAGAAGACCACGAGTTCTAGTCCTGCAGTAGGCATGAAAGCTGGCTGGGTGACTTTGAGCCAATCACCAGGAGACAGTGAGTTCTAATCCTGCCTTATGCATGAAAACCAGCTGGGTGACTTTGGGCCAATAATGAGGAGACTATGAATTCTAGTTCTACCTTAGATATGAAAGTCAACTGTGTGACTTTGGGCCAATCACTAGGAGACTGTGAGTTCTAATCCCGCTTTAGGCATAAAAGCCATCTGGGAGTTTACTGTATGCATTTTATGGTTTATTACATCATTGTCTGACAACTTCTATATGTTCCACATGTTTTTTGACTTTCTCCTAACTATTTTTCTTTGAATACTGTATTCTAATAAATGCAATTTAAGTTTCTGCACGCTTTCTTATTTGTTTGGAAACACACACACACACACCACACACACACACACACACACACACACACAAAAGAACAGTTGAATCACTTTCTAACCCATCCTTAATCTTGTCTTGATTCTTCCTAAGGTAGGGGAAGGGTCCTTGTGCTCTCCAAGCTTGGTGACTTTATTAGCTTTCTTTTATTTTAGATGCTAAGTAAGTTACAAAAGGAGGAAGGGAGGGACGGAGGGAGGGAGGGAGGAAGGAAGGAAGGAAGGAAGGAAGGAAGGAAGGAAGGAAGGAAGTTGCTAAATAGCTACCTAGGAAGAAAGGAGATACAAATATTCTCCTTTATTGGTTCTTCCTAAATTTTATGGTTTTGTGACACTCCTTCCTTCCTTCCTTCCTTCCTTCCTTCCTTCCTTCCTTCCTTCCTTCCTTCCTTCCTTCCTTCCTCCTCTTCCCTTCCCTCCCCTCTCCTCCCCCTTTCCCTTCCTTTCTCTTCCCTTCTTCCCTTTCCTCCACACTCTTTCCTTCCTTCCTTCCTTCCTTCCTTCCCTTCCCCTCCTCTTTCTTCCTTCCTTTTTCCTTCCCTTCCCTTCCCTTCTCCTACCCCTTTCCCTTCCTTTCCCTTCCCTTCTTCCCTTTCCTCCACTCTCCTTCCTTCCTTCCTTCCTTCCTTCCTTCCTTCCTT